GGACCCCCAGACTAGAGGGTTCTGTGTGAGGGGTGATGTGGGGGAACCCCTGGACTGAGGGGGGGGGGGGGGAAGAACCTCCATTTGGGAGGGAAATGGGGGAGTCACACCTGGGCTGGGAGATCCTAAATTCGGAGGACGATAGGTGGGGGTGGGGGAACCCTAATTTTAGGGGGGAAACGGGAGACACCCTTGAACTGGGGGATTTGGGAGACGAGGACCCCAATTTGGGGGGATCAGTGCGGATGGGGGGGGGCGCAATGGGAGAGACCCCAGTTTTGAGTGTAGGGGGGGACCCCATTTGGGGGGTTCTGGGTGGGGCACCCCCTGTTTTACCCCCTCCCCACCTCATATCGGGGTTTGAGGGGGTCCCTCTGGGATTCCTCCCCCTCACCCTTCTCTCTGCCCCCCTCCATCCCCCCAGATGATTTTGGGGGTACGCCGGGCCGGGGGCTTCACCCGCCGGGTGGGGGTCGAGTGCTCCAGCGCGGCCGAGGCGCTGGAGGCCGCGGGGGCGGGGGCCGACATCGTCCTGCTCGACAACCTGCCCCCTGAGGTGAGCCCCCAAAATCCGGGGGGGCAGCCCCAGGCGTGGAGCTGGACCCCCAAAATAGGGGGAACCCCCTCTATGAATTGTCGGGCAGCCCCAGAGATAAGGGGGGGTGGGGGGGAAACCCCATTTTGAAGATCAGTGGGTTGGGAAACCCCAATTTTGGGGGTCAGTGGGTGGATAACTCGTGGGTTTGGTTGGGGGGACCCCAATTTGGGGGGTTTCTGAGAGGAGGGGACCCCGATTTTGGGGGTCAGTGGGTGGGTAACTTGTGGATGGGTGGGGGGGTTGGGGTGGGGAAACCACCAATTTTGGGGGGGGGGGGTCCTCCTTGCACTCCCCCAGTTTTGGGGGTGGGAGGCTCCTCGCTGACGGGGTTTCCCCCGTGCCCCCCAGGAGCTGCACTCGGTGGCGGCGCAGGTCAAGGCTGCGCACCCCGGGGTGACGGTGGAGGCCAGCGGGGGGGTCGTTTTGGGGACCCTCCCCCAGTTTTTGGGTCCCCACATCGACGTGGTGTCCATGGGATGCCTGACCCACAGCGCCCCCGCCCTGGACTTCGCGCTGCGGGTGCTGGAACCCTAAAATCCGTCCTAAGGGGGCCCGGAAAGCCACCCCGACCCCCTAAAATCCCCCCTTTGGAAGGGGCACCCTGAAATCCGGCAGTGGGTCCTCCCAGCCACCAGGGGGCGCCAACGCCTGAGCACCCCAACCCTCCCAATGTCCAGGGGACCCCAAAATTCATCCCGGGGCCTCCCAAAGCACCTACTGGGACCCCCTGTCTCCACCCTGTGGTCTCCCCTGCCCAGGGAGGACCACAATACCCATCCTGGGGTCCTCCCAAACCCTTCCTCCCTTCCAGGGGTGACCCCAGCTCTCCCTCCCGGGGTCCCACCACCCCCCTTTTCTCTCTGTACCCCCAAATAAACCCCTCCCACACCTCCCCGCCCGTGTGTGCCCAAAATTTTTGGGGGGCGTTGCCCCCCCAGACCACATCACTGAATGCAAAAACAGCCACTTCATACAAAAAAAAAAATGGGGAGGGGAGGAGACCCCTCCTCAAAAAGAGTGGAAGTTCTGCTGATCGGGGAGTGGGATCCACCAATTTTCTGGAAATTTGTGCTCGGGGAACGAGTCTGAGTTCAGGACAACAGTTTGAGGGGTCCAGAGCCCAGTTTGAGGGATCTAGAACCCTGATTGAGGGGTCTAGAGCCCAGTTTAAGGATCCCAAACCCCAGTGTGAGGGCCAAGATTCCAGTCTGAGGATTCCAAACCACAGTTTGAGGGCCAAGATCCCAGTTTAGGGATCCCAAACCCCAGTTTGAGGGCCCCAGAGCCCAGTTTAAGTATCCCAAGCTGGGACCAGCACATCCCCCCAGCATTCCCGTTTCCACCCTTCCCTTCGGCAGCTCGACCCTCTGGAACCCTCCCCACAGTAGCTCATTCCTGCCCCGGGAATGTGACCTGTGGAGCAGAACCTGCCGTGCAGGGGACACGGGGTGGGTGTTACCAGCTCTGAAGTCACACATCCTGGGGGTCCTTGAAACGGGATTTAAAACAAGGACGTGGAAATCCTCGTTAAACATCGGAATAAGATGAAGTTACAAATTAACTTCTATTCAGCTGCAGGGGAGAAAAGTCACGGAATCATCAAGTTACTGAGGTTTGGAAAAGATCTCCAAGATCAGCGAGTCCAAACTCTGTCCAATTACCCCCGTTGTCAACCAGACAAGAGCACCGAGTGCCACGTCCTTGGACACCTCCAGGGGTGGGAACTCCAAACCTCCTCGGGCAGCCCCTCCCGATGCCAGACCGCCCTTTCCATGGAGAAATTCTTCTCCATGTCCAGCTTGAACCTCCCCTGGCACAACTTGAAGCCGTTTCCCCCTGTCCTATCCCTGTTCCCTACGAGCACAGCCCGACCCCCCCCGGCTCCCCGCTCCTGTCAGGGGGTTGCAGAGCCAGAAGGTCCCCCCCGAGCCTCCTTTTCTCCAGGCTGAGCCCCCCAGTTTCCTCAGCAGCTCCTCACAGGACTCACTTCCAGCCCCTTCCCCAGCTCCGTTCCCGTCTCTGGACTCGCCGCTCCACCCGCACCGAAGTGAAAAACCGGCTGCGGTCCGAACAAAGCCCGTGCGAGATCGCGCTCAGCTGCTGTGAACCCGCACGGGGGTGTTCGGCGGGCGAGGATGTTCGAGGGGGCACGGGGGTGTTCGAGGGGATACGGGGCTGTTTGGGGGGGCATGGGGATGTTCGGGAGGACACGGGGCTGTTTGGGGTGAAGGGCACGGGTCTGTCCGGGAGGGGGGGGAGGGGGACACGGGGCTATTCGGGAGAACACGGGGGCTATTGGAGGGGACACGGGGATGTTCGGGAGAACAAGGGGCTGTTTGACGGTTTCACGAGGGCTATTCCAGGGGACACAGGGATGTTCGGGGGGACACGGGGATGTTCGAGGGGACACGGGGATATTCAGGAGGACACAGGGACGTTCGGGAGAACGCGCTGCTGTTCGCGGGAGGCACGGACCAGTCCGGGGAGTGGGGTGGAGGGGGGGCACCGTCCTGTTCCGCGGGCGGGAGGGGGCCGTCCCACTCTGCTCTCCGCCCTTCTCCCCACCCCACCCCAAGCCAAGCCGGACACTGCCGGAGCCGCCGTCGCGATGTCCGCGCTCAGCGCCAGCCGGGTGCGGGGGAGGGGGGATCGGGGGCCACGGGGGTCGACGGGGAGGGCCGGGATCGGGCTGCGGCTGGGAGTCCCGTCCCGGGGGCGGCCTCGGAGCTGCTGGCCCCGCTGCCCCTCCCCCGGGGTCAGTGCCCGCTGCTCCCCGAGTGCTGCCGGTCCCGTTGGGAGCTGGGAACGTCCCTTAAGTTGGCATCCACTGGCCCCCTCCCCCGGGGAACTGCGCCGGCACTTCCAGTTCTGCCCGTCATTCCCGAATTAGGGGAAAGGTGAAGGGCGCCGGCCCGGCCGTGTCCCTCCCGCTGTCCCTCCGGTACCACTCCAGTGTCCTCATGGCCACCTGCCCCAAGTATCACGGTGACAGCGGGGGGGGGCTCCGCCCGAGAGCGGCGTGGGCTGCGGATCTCACAAGGGATGCTCCGGGATTTGGGGTGCGGCCTCCGACAGCGGGGGCAGAGTGGGGGGAAGGCACGAGGGGCTGAGCTCAGAGCACAGGGAGGTGACAGAGCTCAGGGCACAGGGGAGATGACAGAGCGGGCAGGTGCTCACCCAGATCCCTACACGGAATCACAGACTGGTCTGGGTGGGGAGGGACCTTAAGAGACCACTCAGTTCCACCAGTTCCTGCCACGGGCAGGGACACCTTCCACCAAACCAGGTTGCTCCAAGCCCTGTCCGACCTGCCCAGGAACGCTTGCAGGGATGGGGCACCTACAACATCCTCTGTGTGTGTGAGCTTTGGTCCTTTGTGCCTCCTCTGTGCCCCTCCTGCTGTGACCCCCCCCTCCCCGTGCCCAACCCTCACCTCCGCCTGTCTGGAGGTGTTGGTGTTTCCAGAGTCACCTCAGCAGTGTCCTTGACCTTGCACAGCCCTCGGACAGGAGAATCAGGAGGCTGAACATCTCTAACACAAACCCGGCAGTTTCTCTCCACAGGGTGTCACCTTCGGCTTTGTTGGGAATTCAGGGCTTTTCCTGGTTTTCTCTAAACTTTTTGGTGGACAAGCTGCAATAGGACTGGATCACCCTTAAGGAAAAAAAAAAAACAAAAAAAACCAAAAAAACCACAGCTAATCCCAAAGGAAAACAAACCCCAAACACACTAAGATTCCACAGTTACAGTTCCCTGTCTTTTTTTCTGCATCACCTTCCTGTCAGTTAAAGCTCAAACAAGGTGTAAAAGGCCTGGGAGGGCTGAGGTTGGTCTGCAGGTTTCCCAGGATTATTTGTTTTGTTTTCCTACCCTGCGGCATTGCTTTGGTAGAAAGCTCGCAAGAAGGGAAAACACCGTTTTACAGCACCTGTGGCATGTGAAAATCCCACGGAAGAACCCAAAGGTTCCAGCCCGGGGTGTTCCCTCATCCCTAACGCTCCTTTTCCCGCAGCAGCTGCTCCGGGTCGTGGCACGGCAGGGCTGGAGGTCGAGCTCCAGCAAACCTGCCCCAAATGTGCAGCCCCGCAAACCCGGGGCCGGGTTCAGCTTTGGTGAGTGTGGCAGGGCTGGAAAGGGAGGGAACAGGGAGGGAAAAACGGCAGCAAACGAGACAAAAGAAACCCAGACACCCCCCACCCCCCCCGCCCGCAAAAAAAATCCCAAGCAACGCCCAAAAACCTAAACCCAGCATTGCAGTTCAGGAGCAATTTCAAGGTAGGTGTTTTATTTGGAATAGATTTCTGTTCTTTTTATAAAAACTATTTGAAATCCCAAATCCCCTCTTCCCTTTCCAGCTCAGGACTGCTGAGGGGGACCCGTGTGGTATTTCTGGGACTTTCTTCTTCTTTTGACTATCTTGAGGTTTTGGTTTTTTTCACTGCCCGAGTTAACTCAGCACGGAGCGATGAACCTGCACTGGCTTTGTTAAAATAACCCCGTGCAGTACCAGAGGAACGTGGGGATGTGACACAAATTCCTCCTCACTTGAGCCATTACAGCAAATTCTGGGGGGCAGGAGCAGAAGTTTGATGGGTATTTTTAGTCAAACATTTTGTTACCTGGCACCTTCCTGCTCCATTTTCAGTAGCTTTGGAATAATTCTGTGGGGCAGCAAATTCTGCGGGGTCAACAGCAGATGTTTGAGGGGCGTTTTCGGTCAAACATTTCAGAAGGGGAAACTGCCAGGAAATTCGCCCTGGAGGAGATTATTCCTGTCGCTGCTCAGTATGACAAGACTGGGGAGGTAAATCCACGAAAAATGGATTTGTCTCTTAACCTGAATTGTAAAATGTATAAATAAAACAAACGTATAAATAATAATTATAATAAACATTTTAAAATGAAAATAACAAATGTATAAATAATAAATATAATGATAAACATATAAAAATAAAAATAACAAATGTATCAATAAGAAATAAAATAACAAACATAAAAATAGAAATATCTGAATAATAAATATACTAATAAACATAAAAATAAAAATAACAACGTATAAGTAATAAATACAATAATAAACACATAAAAATAAAAATAACAAACGTCTAAATAATATAACGATAAATATGTAAAATTAATTAACAAACAAATAAAATAATAAACATATAAAAATGAAATTAACAAATGTCTAAATAATAAATATAGCAATAAACATATATACATAAAAATAACAAACAAATACACTAAATATAATAAACATACAAAAATAAAATTAATAAATGTATAAGTAATACGCATAATAATGAATATACAAAAATAAAAATAAATAAAAATATATTTATAATATAAATAATATATTATTTATATAATGTATTAATAATATATATAAAGAAAATGGTGTTGCAAGTATAATAAATAAATAATACTATTATAAAAATAATAAAAATAATAAATAATGTAAAAATAAAAATAAAAGAAAATGAAAATAAAAATAAAAAATAAAAATAAATTAAAAAGAAAAACAACATAAAATTAAAAATAAATTAAAATTAAAATTAAAATAAAAATAAAGTAAAAATAAAAATAAACTGGGATCTGGGCCCTCCAAACCAGGATGTCCGTCCTCCAAACTGGGTTCTGGGCCCTCCAAACTGGAATCTGGGCCCTGGAGTGATGGATTAAAGCTCTGACCATTCCCTTGCACCAAATTATTAATTAAT